TTAACACAAATCCAAAAAGAAGCACAGTACCTCCAACTATTTTCTCTATCTCAAGCCAAAGCCAAAACTGTCAAACCAACGATTCTCTGTCTCGCGCCAAAATCAAATTGCCGAAGACATCGCCGATCACTGAATCCTTTGCGCGAACCGATCTTTTTGCGTCGATCTCTTCTTCCCTACAACCTCGCTCTGATACACATGTTGAGAATTTTAGGACAAAGAAACATAAGTGTTAACACAAATCCAAAAAGAAGCACAGATATCTAACGAGGTTAGGCAAAGATGTCTGCATCCTCAGGAGCAGAGCAGCGCTTTCCTTTCAATTCAGAAAAAAAGAGTACAATATCCTCTTAGGGTTACAATACAACATATATATATATATATATATATATATATATATCTGTGTGTGTTTTCGGGGATGGGAGCTCTGCTAGGGCTTCACAGTTTTAAGGCGATTCAAGGGCGACTTCAGGCGTATGAGGATGGGGCTTCTCCGTTCGGCTGGTGGATCTTTCCATCATTGCTTCGGTTGTTTAGGTTGACTTTGATTTCATATTTCTTCTTTGTGTTTACTCTTTCGTTGTGCGTCTCTCGTTTATTTGGGGTTTCTTGTTTCGATTATGTCGTTGGTTCCTAGATCTTTTGTTGACGCCGTTTTAGATGGGGCGGTTCTTCGTCCGCACCCTCCTCTGTGTTTTTTCTTTAAAGTTTTCATGACACTCTATATATTAGAGGAGATTATACTTTCATCAAAAAATTGGGGAAAAAGAACGGTAAACTTGCTCTCTATGTTACTGAAGATGAAACTATTGTGCTTGCTTCTTCATATCGCCTTGCCCTAGTTGGTAAATTTACTTATGACATCCCTAAGGTTGAGATCATAAGGAGAGAGAGTTTGAAATGTTAAAGTTAAATGGTTGGTGGAAGGTTGGAATAATTGATGGTAGGCATATTTTTATTCAACTAGCAAATGATGAGGATTAAACTCGCCTCTTCACAAAAATGTTCATGTGGGTGGAAAATAATTTGATGAAATTTCGGAAATGGTCTATTCATTTTTATCCTAAAGTTGAGTTACTTATTATTTCGGTATGGATTCGATTCCTATGACTCAAACTACATCTTTTTAACCACGAAATACTACTTTCACTTGCTGCTGCGTATGGGAAACCATTGAAAATGGATCACGCTACCTTCACTTTATTGAGACCCTCTGAAGCACGTATATTGGTTGAACGAGGTATTACTCAGGCTTTCTGTAATAAAATTTGGATAGGATCACAACATCAGCGTTATTGTCAGCCTGTTGAAATTGAAAGCATTCGCCTTACTGCACTCACTGCTCTATGTTTGGACATCAAACTACTTCATGTTTTCGTTTGAATCCGCAACTGAAGAATTCCCAAAATACTAGGCAAACTAGTAATCCTGTTAACAATGTAACTAATGCTCTGCAAGTTGATCCACCTGGTATTGAAAATAGAAATGTATTAGTTGAAAACCTTGACACTAATGCTAATTCTAATATGCAGCCTTTGGTTACAGGAGTTATTGATAATTGCATTGAAGGTTCACCTTCACATTTGAATATTATTGATGGGCAACAAGGAGTTGAAGCTTTCCATCTGTGTAGTAACGTTACTCCTAAACATGTGCAAAATCTTGACAATGTGGAGTTAGCTAAAAACTCAAACAATCAAATTGCTATTTCTCCTCATGGACACTCTCCTCTTGTGGGTCATTTAGAAGACTTGATCAATGAGGAGGTTGTAGAAGCTATAATTGATAATAGACACTCTTGTCACTGAATGTGCTACTCTTCCTAGTACCATGGTGCACTCTCCTACCCTTGGAGCAATTTATGATATAAATACTGCTCTTGATAGTGCCACATCAGCTTTGGAAAATGAATGGCAAGTGCAAAAACACTCTCGGAAAAAGGCTAAACGTAACATTGAATTATCTAGACTTAATGCTAGCAACATTATACTGGAACGTGTTTACCACTCAGATGGAAAACAGTTGGTCAACCCTACTAGATCTTTTAGAATGGTTGGCTCACGACACCATGATTAATATAATGATTTGGAATATTAGGGGAGTGGCAAACCCTAACTCCCTTAATAGGCTTAAAAACTCGTGTAGGGTCCATAAATTACTCATATTTGCTTTTTTGGAGCCTCTGGCCCATGTGAATAAGCAAGAGATTCTTAATAAATTCAAAGGATACCGCTCTCACTGCAATGTCAACAACAAAATTTGGGTTTTTTGGAAGGTGTTAATCTTGTTATTATTGAAGAAGAGGATCAATACATTCTAACTCAAATTTCATTTAATGGTTTTGATGTCATGAGTGTAGGGTGTCCACCTGCATGACTCGGGATAGTTTACGACATGTCCGTGAAGTCCGATAGTTCAGACACCCGTCCGAGACCTTTTTGGCATGTGTTGAGGGCCACACAGTCAGAGTTATTCTGATAGGCTTTGGCTTTCGCTTATGCGAAGGTCGGTCGGCATTTGGCACGTCGGACGACTTCGATCGGGTCAACAAATATTATGTGGAGCGTCGCTTGCGATTTTAGCTTGAATTGGCCCGATCACTTGATGATGAAACGAACCCCGCCAGTGTATCCGCAACGTCGATTTCGCTTACGGAGGATGTCCACTTCGCTACGGCTTCGCGGGCGACGTAAAAATGTGTGAATTATCGTTTTGGGCACGATAGTTGAAAAAAGTGGCTCAAACGACCCCGAACGACGGAACGGATTGCGTCAATGCGTTCAAAACGTCGATTTTAGCTAGGAAGGACATATACTTCGCCGTGAGGATGCGTATAGGTGAAGAATACACGAACAATAATTATAATAATATAAACATTAATATATATATATATATATTATTACCCTTACAATATAAAAACTCATTCTTCTCTGCCTCCCTGTCTCCAAAAATCGTGAAACAGCCCTAGCCGTCAGCACTTTTCATCGCGAGCCCAGTTTGCTACCTGCATGTTGGTTTGCTGCATATTGCATCTTTGCTTGGTGCATGTTTCATTCCACTTCACTTCGATCGGCTACCCCGGCCCGACGAGCCGTCCAGCACTTCACTTCGCTCCAACCGGCCGTCCGGCCCGGTGAGCCTCTCACTTTCGATTTTATGCCTTTTGTGAATTTATTTTCCAAAAAAAAAATTTATAGTAGTTTCCCATTTTTTTTTGCAAAGTTTAAATAAATTTTTATTAGATGCCATTAAATTAATAGAAAAGTAAGGTGGCACACATAAACTTATTTTTTAAATATATTTTTCTCTCATATGTATGTATACAAATTACCCTGCTCCTTATACAAAAAAATAGAGCATGATCTATCTTACTATTACGCGGGACATAAATCTCTCGATCTAATTATTATAAATCTTGTTGTTTGCTTGTGATTTTTGTTTATTTGTTTGTTTGTGTTTAGGTTTTATTTATTTATGGAAAAATGTTGATTGATATATTTATTTTTGAACTCAAGAGGTTATATGATTTACCCACTGAAAGTCTAAGTATTCATATTTGTATTCATAATATTTAAATTTTTAACATCTAATAAAGAGGACTGCAAATATTAACATCCTAAAAGTGAAATATAAATTTTTATGTATAAATTTTGATGCGTCGACAACAACAGTTATCATTTGATATTAATCTCGAGATGATAGACACTGAGTTCTAAGCAATTTTTTAACAAGAAATATTCAAACTCTAATTAGAAATCAAGGGGTAATCAGATTTTAGCAAACTTGCAGTTAAACTGATCGACTCGATGAGAGGAACGTAATGTCACCAAATTAATACAATATGAGTCGAATCACACCTGAATCAAGTTATTAAACTAATTTTAAAAACTTGAGATGACTAGTTTGATACCGGTATGGACTCCAAATCAGACAGCTTATAGTCAAATTGAATGTTCCAACGAGACGAATCTAAAGAGCCGAAGATCACGATTATGACATCATTAAAGTATTTTAATGTCCACAAAATAGCGTCTGATAAACAAATCTTTTTCGATGTCCGATGGAGTGGTTGAAAAGTCTTTTTTATGTAGAGGCACCCATCACACTCCATAAATAGAGTTATGCTTCTTTGATCAAATGGGACTTTGGCCTTAAACCAGAAGAAGAGTTGGAGGCGCTGAATTATAGTGTGGTTCCATATCGAAGACACAACAAACACTTCACGCTCTTACAGTCACGGACCCTGTCGACCACAGCTCGCTAGCCGTTTTCGACCACCATCAATTGCCTCTACTCGTTGCAACAAAACCCCCTCGTGAAATCACAACGAACACTAGAAAATCCCAGCGTACGTTGCTGAGTAACAAAGTATGCGGTGAAAGAGGACATCATGCGATGCGCCTCGAAGATGAAGTACTAAATCCCTGATAACTACTCCAATCACTCCCAAACCTTGTGCAATGAACATTATACATACAAAAATCGTGTAGTTGTTTCTTGTTTGTCGAACAAAACATGCACGTGTATTCATTAATTCATAGTTGGTCATTCTGACTGTGCTCGGCCCGTGAATTTTTTCCCTTTCCGTACTTTTCATGTAAAACTGTTAATTTATCTACATATTGCTTATATTATTTAAGTGTGTGCTGAACTTTCTGACAATTAATAATCACCCACCACCTCAAATCTTCCGACACCTCATCAAGTTTATAAAACAAAAATATTATCATATAAATATAAAAAATTATGTAACATGTATGTTAATTTAATTTCCAAAATTATTAATGAAAAAATAGCTCTATACCATCGCGACCAAGCCGCACAACTCTCTAAACCGGTCGATGAGAACCAAGGTTCTATACAGCCGGAACGACCATCCTCTAAAACCCTTAAAACCCTCGTTCTCCATTCATTCTCGTTACTGCATCTCGGCAGCATGTGGATGAGGTCACTCTCTTCAGCTGCCGCGGCGGCCGCACGCCCGTGCTCTGCGTCGGCGCCCCCCCGGTGCTCCATGGATGCGAGGCTCCTCTCCTCATCCGCCTCTTCGGCCGCCGCCGTAGATTCCCTCATCCTCCGCTCTCTCAAGGAGCACTATCTCGAAGTCTCCAAGATGTCTCCACCGCCGGTAATCCCAGGGTTTCACTTCCGGTCTATTGTTCCTTCTTCTATCGTTTTTCACTAACTCTCAATCTTCCCGCAGAAAGTGAACCCCCCTTCGCCGTTCACGATTGTGAAGGGCGCGCTGGATCGCGATGGCCCAGCGGTTCGGCGTGAGTACAAGGGGGAAGAGATCACCATCTCCGTAATGAGGCTTGCGAACATCATGCCAAGTGGTGCCGAGGCTGATGACGATGATGACAACGAATCTATCAACCAGTTGTTTCTCCACGTCGACGTTTCGAAGCCTGCATGTGAAAAATCCCTTCACTTTCTTTGCGGGCTCTATCCCGATGCTGTTGGTATCCACTCCGTGTGCCTAAGGCCTAAAACTGGTTCTCTGTCTCTCGCCTCTCTGAACAAGTACGAAGGCCGTGTCTTCCAGTGAGTTTTCTTTACCCGTTATTTCTTATAACTGAACATAATCATATTTTTTGCTGTGAAGCCCACCCCAAAATTTTGACTTTTCTTTTGCGGACTTCCCTTAGCCGTTTTTTATGGTGTTCGGTTCATATATTTTGGGCAGATGGTATGTATAGTCTCAAGAAATTCGCTTGGATTCCATTCTATTTCTGCGAATAATTTCCCTCTTACAGGACATACTAATGGTTCTTAATGGGCTCCGAGTGTCTGAAGATGTAAACTATGGCGTTTTTTAGGTCCTTTTAGCTGTATTAATGTGAGCAAATGTCGGTATTTCTTGATACATTTTGCCAGTTGCACTGGAGCACGTTGCTTAGGGGCTGCTTGGAATCACTTTTGTTTTTTTAATTTTATTTTGTTATGTTTTGATTTAAAATAAAACATGTTTGGTATGATATACTTTTTCAGCTGCTTTTAAAAACACTAAAAATAGTTTTGAGTGTTTTTAAAAACAGCTGATTTGTTTTTAAAGTGAAGAATAAAAACATACAAAAAAATGTACTTATCATACATGTTTTAAAATAAAAGAAAAAAATAAAAATAAAAGTGAACCCAAACAAGCCCTAAACAAGATCAGTATGATATACTTATTTAATTTCTAAAAAAAAGATTTTTTGATTGTTTTTAAAAATAAGCTGATTTGTTTTTAAAATAAAATATAAAATCATATAAAAAATGTACTTAACAAACATGTTTTAAAATAAAAATAAAAATAAAATAAAATTGAACCCAAACAAGCCCTTAAACCTATTTGGGATCACTTTTTTTGGTTTTCTATTTTTGGTTTTTATTTTATTTTTTTGCTGATGTTTTGTTTTGAATTGAAACATGTTTGGCGATCATAGTTGTTTTTAAAAACTCAAAACATTATTTGTGTTTTGAGTGTTTTAAAAAAGTCACCATCTTTTAGCTGTTTTGTGTGTTTTTGAAAATATGATGACTTGTTTTTTTTAAATAAAACATATAAAAATTATATTAGCCAAACATATTTTAAAGAACAAAATAATGGGAAAAACAAAAATAGAAAATAATAAAGTCAAACGGGCCCTTAGCTCTCGACATTTTTTCTTTGGTCAAGTTGGATATCTTCAAATACTTGTGATATATTTTGGATTGGCTTTCCACCATGCAACACATATAGAAAAGCCCAACAACGATGATGGGTTTCCCATCCGCTTGCAAGAGTGCCCACCTGTCCAATGAACTCTCATAAAATATAATCTTAGGGGTTGTTTGGTTGGCTATTTTATGTAGGCTTTCAGAAAGATTTGATCTAAATCTCACCAATACTTTATAAGACGTTTCAAAAATAAATTTAAGATTTAGTGGAAATAGATAAATCTTGACTGAAATTTAGTTGTTAAATTGGTGTTTTAGGATTTGTAAGTTCAGACTCAATTTTGTTAAATGGATCTAAGAATTTTGATCCAACATCATAATTTACTAAATCCTATAAATTAATTTCAAATATAATTCATCAAATCCAGATTTTCTGAAATTCTACTGGGAATCAAACACGCCCTTAAAGCAATCTATGCTCGCATGACTTAGGCATTCATGCAGTTAGCTATGGGACTGGGCCACTTTACCTAACAAATAATTGGTATTGAAGGATTTCATTTATACTTTGATATGGAAAGGTCCATTCCGAACAACATTGATGAATAATTTTTGAAAATTTATTGCATATCCTGTAGGCTTTGTGAAAGTTCATGTTTTAGGTGAGTGGTTATTTGATGGTCCTTTATAACCGCCCTTTTAACTCATGATTCCAATACTCACTTAGCTATAAAAAAAATTTAGTTTATTAGTAACTTGAATTATAATTTATCATATGGCATTGATTTACAATGCACAAATTTCATAGCACTGCTTATATATTTTAATAAAATCTCTCTATCTCATGTGAAACTAATACTTAGAGTACAAGTCGTCAATAGATAATTGGCCTCACTAAAGTGATACAAATGCTGCTTTCTTGTAGATGGAGTTGATTTCTCCACTGTAGTTGCAATCTATGTTTTGATTATGGTATGGTATTTGCTATCTTAAGTCGAAAAAGAGAGCTTTAATTGATGGTAGTAGAAATTGTAAAGAATATTTTTTAGCAACTAACTCTTTGGATCTTAGATTGGGCTTTTTTTTGGTAGATAGCATAGCTAATGCGGTGTACCCTTGTAGGTGAACAATTAGTGAAGTAAATCTTTTGCAAGACTCAACCAAGAGGATTTGGTAGTGATATTTATATTCCATTGAGAACTAATGGGGACTAAGGTCTGAACTAAATAACACTAGGCCTATCAATTATTAGAGAGCTGTCCTCTTCCTGTGCTTGGCTTCTCTTGTTAGGATGGTAGAACATTAAGGGTTTAAATTGACCCTAGTATGCTAGTAAATGGAAGGACACTCAACAATCGATTGCCTTTGCCAATGGATAAGAGGCATTAATAGTATATTAGTAACTCAATTTTTGCTCTACCTTATATGTGAGTTTATTTTCCACAACATGTATTTCAATTATCTTCTCCTCTCCTGAGACTCATCAAATCAAAGATTACCCTTTCCCAAACAAAAGAATTTTCAAAACTATTAAGTTTCATGCAAAAAAAGCTCATTTAACCTTATGAAGTTTTCATGGAGCCACCCACTCTCTTGAATCTTGCTTTTATTATGGTAAAAGACACTAAGATCCATGAGAGTGCATTGCTCATTTTATCCTAGCCAAGTCATAGACTTCAATACCATTGGATTTGAGGTTGGAAGAACGAGGCGTCAATTTGACCTCAATGTGTTATTGATGAAAATCCATCAACTTAATAACTCAAGGCAATGCATGAAGGCTGCTACTGGTATATTAATAACTCAATTATTGTTTTAGTTTCAATGTTGATGCTAATTTCCAATACTTTATGCACTTTAACCTAGAACCTCTTTGAGCCTAACTTTGTACTATGGATCCAATTTCCTCCTACAAACAAATCTTTGTTTATTGTTGGAATGCCACTTTTGTTGTCTTTTTTTTTTGCTTTACATGCTTTCACTTGCATGATTACATTTCCCTTTTTTTCATTTCTTAGATTGGCATATTAGTTTGCCTCTTATGTTATTCTTCCTATTGTTGGTGGTTTTCTTTAAGATTCTCCATTTTCTTCTTCTTTGAAGTTGCTGGGATCAGAAATGCTATAGTAGTCTATTGCAGAAAGACGATCTCATGATTAGGGCAGATGTTGGCAATCCTTCAATGTTGGAATACATGCTTATAAACTAGAACTTTTTTTTTCATTATTTTACGAACACATTTTTTTATCTTGTTATTTAGAACACAACATTTTATCTTATAAATATAGATTTCTTAGAATTATGTGATCTATTTAATGGGGCACAAACTTGCATCTAAGTTTATTAATGGATCGGCTCATCATTCAGTCATACAATGCATTGCTTCATTATTTTAAGCCTGGCATTTTTTCTTAGACATAATGTTATAATTAATAATGTATAACATTATTGAGAATAATGTTATAACATTATTATTATATTATTTCAATGCCCTTTATGATTATAACATTATCATTACAAAGTTATAATTCTTAACATTAAAATGTTTTCTATTTATTTTAATGGCCCATGTTTTATTTATTAATAATTCATGTTGACTGAATGATGATATGTTTTAAATTTTATTGCTCAGAAGGAGAGTTACTTAATCAAACATTCATAAACTATTTTATCAAATAATGGTTAAGTAACTAATAGTCATTTCTCTACCGATTTAAGTGTCAAATTCTTCTCCATTTGAAGCTTGATCATTGAGTGAAAAAGCTGGGCGAAGGGAGAGAAACTATAATTTTCAAAAGTTCAAAGGAGATTATCATGAATCACGGTACATTTGATTTTCTAGTTAAGCTTTATGAAAATGACATTGCTTAAGTTCTCGGGTTTATGAATGCTATTATCTAGATTTGCATAAATTTTAGAAAAATATTTAATGAATGCGATAAATTTTTACACTTTCTTGATCCAACTCATGGCATGGAATCGGATGAGTGGGTTTTTAGTTAGAAAGTGCCTCTTTTTTTTTATTGTTGTTTTGAGGCATCGATGTTAAGAAGTTTAACTTTCTCTAACACAGGTAGCCTTGTCTTTCCTTCAGCATTTGTGATAAAGTCTATGCGGGCATGATCTTTGTTTAACCTTTTCTCAATATTTATACTTTGATCAATGTTTTTTATTTGACTGATTTATAAACTTATTAATTTGCAATCAATGTAGCAATATTTTTATTGACTCATTTTAGCTTATTATTGTACCATTATTTTGAAAGAGCTTCTCTCTTTCACTACCATTTGTTGTTTCTTCTCGCCATTGGCAGTGGTCTATGAGCTTGCCTGTGAGATGCTCTTCACTAGAAGTTTCTTGGACTTCCATTAGTTTTTTGGGAAAATTAGATAAGTATCACAATTCTTATGTATTTTCATATCTAATACATAAGCTTTTATATTTACATGCATAGCACTTTGCTGTGATAAATCTATGCATTAAAAGGTGTATTTCACTTTTAAAAAGAGGTTGACAGTGGTATTTCTTATTTGATGCTAAAGATTTGAGTGTTATGCATGTAAATATGTAAGTTTGGGTGTTAGATATGTAAATACATAAGAATTGTTTGGTGTGCATGTAACTTCGCCTAGATTTTCTCTTGCATGTTACTTTTTTTTTATTTTTTTTTATTTTAATATAAGACTGCATGTTACTTTGTTATTTATATATTTTATAATGATAATTTTGCACCAAGAGTTTGTGGTATAATTTTGCACCAATTGCTCATATCACTGTCTCAGTTATTGTCATCAGATTTGTTTCTCATCGTCATGGTTGATTATGCAGAGTGTAGATATAAGCAATTGTTTGAATCTAAACCATGATATAAGCAATTGTTTGAATCTAAACCATATTGTGCTGTTCATGGGAATTTTGTATTTCATTATTATTATTGTGGTTGCTTGTCTTCCTATTACTAATTGCTAAATGATTTGAAAATAACCAACACATAAAATCATCTACATTCTTTTGTGGACTTTGGAAGATCATGTTTTTAAATCTGCTGTGTTACTTTGGATTTTCCAACAAGTATCGTGTTTGTACTTTTGGTTCTTATTTAATAATGCTTTCAATTAATATTGGCTTTCAAAATTTGAAATACCATCATTTTATTTATTGTAAGAAACATGTAAGAAAAGTCATTATACTACTAATGACATCAATTCTAGTTCTCTACATGAGAGATTGGTGCGTGCTGACGCTTGGATTAGCTGACTCGATTACCAATTTCATAGGGTTTCTTTGCTGACCCTTTGGGAGTGGTTGTATCTCAATAACTAGACTTGTCAGAATCCTCAAAATAATCAACAAGAGGCAAATAACTCCCTGAGCAATCCCCTGAAACCCTTTTTTAGGAAGATTTACATGCATACCACTCAATTCTTATGTATTTACATATCTAATGCATAAAATTTAATTTTTACATGCATGCCACTTTACTTATGCAGGGAAAGGTGTACTTGCACTTTTTTAAAGATTAAAATGGTGGTATTTTTTATGTGATATGCAAGATTTGTGTCGTATAATTGTAAAAAATAAAATTTAAATGTTAGATATGTAAATACATGGACATTGGGTGTTATATCTGTAAATGCCCCTTTTTCTACTAGCCAATTTCTATTTACAAATGGTGATATTGTCCCCACATACAAATTTGGCCCAAAAGAAATGTGTTTGAAAGGCGCAAATTTCATCTTTTAATCAAATAATTTAACATTAGATGTGCCTTTTTTTTTTTTACTGCTTGCAATGTTTATATATAAGAAAGGGAGATGGAGTTATTGGCCTTTAATTGAGTGATAAAATTTCTTGGTTAAGCCATTAGGCTGTAGAAAAATTTCAGGGTAAGCCTGCTAATTTGATTTTTTTTTTTAAAAGAGAGTCAATGCACTTTTACTTTTTGTTTCCGTCTCTGTATCGTAAATCGTTTGTTCAGTTGAAAATGATTTGAGTGGTTATTGGTGTCTTCAATTATGTCGTTATTTTGCTATACTAACCTTTGAATGGGCGCTTGAACTTGCATGCCTTTTTTTTTAATGGTAGGAGGAACGATTTTGAGAGCGTTATCTTGTACTCAGCATCATACTCACCTTTTTTAGGGTGATATGCATGCCTGCTACTTCTCTTGTTAATGCCTTGTAGGGTTACGTAGAAACTAGGTTGATATTTTGGTGAAATTTGGAACTTTGGTGAATTTATATTCTGCTGTGGGCATGTTACAGCAATGTTGTGGACATGCACATAAAAGGAAAAATGAGCAAAAACACACCTACGTATGCACAAAATAAACTTATAGTAGACTTTGGCGGTCTTATTACTCACAATGAAAGGCAAGAACTTGAGTTGAGTTATGAGCGATGGGATTGTAGATGAATCGATATACTTGGCAAGCTACTGGTAGCTCGGCTTGATTAGAGCGTGTTCATAGTCATTTAATTAAATAATTAAAAGTTTGGGCATTTTTGTAGATACTTGAAAAATGGACATGGTTTAAAAGTTTGGTGTCTAATTCTCTTATGATCATGTATAATATCGTTTAAAGTTTGTGAACAACCTTGATTAAAGTGCAATACTATGTTCATTTAAAACTTGATTATAAATTTATCTGACATGTGATTATGTGGGAGTCTTTTATTTCCATATCACAATGGTTTTGTTCATAAACATAAGTCATTTGTTTATGCTTGTTACTATTCTTATCCATTCAAATGTTTCATTCAATTATAATTTTATTTTTAGGCTTATTAGATTTCTTATTAATAGACTCGATTGACTTGTTCAAATAAATAATAAGCTGCTCTATAGTGCTGCTTTTTAACAAGTTCGATAATACTTGTTTGGTTAGCGAATGAATCGTGCTTAAAATAATCGAGCTTCTACACTACCATAAATACTTAAATCGAGCTTGAACTCAAGTGACGCTCGGGTCGTAGCACTGTAGCTGCTATAGTGCCGCAGACTCAGTATTGTGGCTGCTATACCGCAGCCCAACCCTTCTCCCCTTTTCTTTTTCGTTTTCTTCCCTATTTTCTTCATTTTCCATGATTCTTCTATTTTATGTTATACCTATTCTATGTATTCCTTTTCTAATTTCCTTTCCTAAGCATTAACTATTATATTTACAAATTCCCATTTTATGTATGTGCTGCTGAGTGTTCTAGGGTTCATACTTGGATGAGTGTGAATTTATGAGTGCTGCCTTTAAGGCGTTCTTCTCCTTTGGGGGTTGGTTGTACCAGACGAGAAGGTGCTCCGGCTGTAACTTGTCCGTGGTGGTGATCGTTTTAAGGGTCTGGATAGTGCTCTGGTTATAGTTCAACTCTGACTAGACATTTATCTTTCAACTGCCGCAAACCATCTTCTCTGCTGGCGTCTAGGCTTCCATCTTCCTTCCTGCCACTGCCCAGGTCTCCGGTCTCTTTCCTGCTAACGCCAAGACTCTCCCCGAGCAGTGTCTTCTGCCGACAACCACTCCCGGGTTTGCCCCTACTGCTGTCCAGCCATCGGCGCCTGTCACAACTGTTGTCCAGCCACCAACGCCTCTCACAGCTGTTGTTTAGCCACCGGCGCCTAACCCCACTGACGTTCAATCCCCATGGACATTGGTGCCTGATGCCGTCCAGACCCCGCCACCGGTCTGCTATTGCCCCAGACCTCTCTAACATCTTCCAGCAGTCTGTCACGACCCTCCCAGTAGCGACCAATCATCCCGAACTCTCTCCAGCGGACTGCCAGCACTGCTGTTCCAGCATTGCACCTTCTGGATCCGACATGCTTCCTTAGAGGGTCATTCTTGTCTCTGCGTTATCCTTTTTCTTATTCCCATTGTATTTATTGTTGTGTACTGTTTTTCATGCTTGTGTTGTTCTGTCAAAGAGTCATCATTGCACTTTTTTTATTGCAACAATAAAATTTGTGTCATTGGAGTTGTGGTTTGGGTTAATTCCGGCATCATCAAGCTTGATGTTGGCAAATAAGTTCAAAATCAAGCAACACTCCTATTCAGATCGGCTCTATTCATTTGTAGCTCTAGTAGGCAAGGTCAAATGAGGCTCTCTCCGCTTCCTCATGGATGCACTGAATTAAACTTGAAGACTCTTGGATTTTCAGAACCACAAGTGGATAGCCTTTTTTTAGACCCTAGTCCTTTTTTTTTTTTCTATATTTGAAACATGGGCTCTTGTGTTCCGCTCAGGTCTTATTATTATTTTGAGCATCCAAATCCTCTGCATGTGTTGGGTAACTAGTATTTCTTAAGAAGAGTATTAGAAGGAATATATTTCTCTGTATGAAGAGTTAAAAGTTGGTCATTCTTTGTAAGACCACAGGAAGATCATGGAATCTTTCCAAACGACTGAAGTAACCTTTTTGAAATCCAAGCGCCTGAGCTCCTTTCCTTGTTTTACCTTTTTGAAGTTTCTATGCGTATATTCACTACTGTTAGCATCTTCTTAAAGTTATATCATGTTGAAAAATGTTTGTCATTTAGTTGTATATGGTTAGATGCTAATACTAGTTTCAAATTCTACAATTTTGCAAAAAATTATTCAAATTGTGATAACTACATTTTCACTGTAAATGTGTGAATGCTATATGATAGTTTTCTAAAAACATATCTTTTATTTAGAAGCAGCCAACGAACTACATTTGACATTTCCAATAAATTGTATATAATTTACTCATTATCTATATCTGCGATTATTTATTCAGCTTGATATATATGTTCCTGACTAACTGCTGTTCATATTACGCAGAGAATTGGATCAGAAACTGAGGGATGCGTTCCACATTTTTATTGAGGCTCGCGGCGTAAACGAGAGCCTCTTCCAGGCCTGGCTTTATGTCAAAGACCACCGGAACCTCATGGGCTGGTTTAAGAGCGTGGGAACTTTCATCAATGAACACAAGTCTTCATCATAGCTGATTTACATTTCAGTCTTAAAGAGGTTTGTCATCTCATTTACCTGCTTTAGATTTTGGGGGTATTTACGTACATACCACACAATTCTTATGTATTTACTTATCTAACACCTAACCTTCAATATTTATATTCATTGTACTCCAATTTTGAACATCACATCAAAATACCGCCTTAATTAACTTTTTAGAAGTCACCTGTATTTTTTTATGTATAGCTTTACAACACTAAGATGTTATAATTGTAAAGAGACGACGACAACAACAATGGCAAGCCTTTGTCCCACTAAGGGTCTGTTTGGCGCAGCTGCAGATTCTCAGCTTTTCAGCTACAGCTGCGCTGCCCCAGGAAGCAGCTGTGGGGAAGTTGACTGTCTGTTTGGTGCAGCTGTGTGAAAAATGTTGTAAGCCAGCTGTTTTATGTAAAAATGACCAAACTGCCCCTGTTTGTTAAAACTGTTTAAAATTTTTTGATTTATTTGTATAAATATGGGTTTAATATACATAAAGTTTATAAAAATATTATTTCTTACTTAATTAAATGAAATAAATTGTTTTCAACATTCATTTTTATACATTTTTTTCAAAATTTTTTTTTTAATTTTGAACACAAATAGGTTTAAAATTTATCTTTATCTAAATATCAATGTATATGAATATTAATTCATCTATACATATAAAAATTTACAAACATATTTTAGAAGCATAAAATGTAACATACATAAATGCACCTTAAGCCATGAGAAGTCGTTCTTTCTTACATAAAGACGTAGGAACTCATACAGTTTCGTACATCCAAAATAGCCCAGAGTACACAAATGCAACTCAACCACTAGCTAGGAGAAGCAGAATGAAAAAAAACTGTAAAAAAAATCACGACCACAACGAGTAGCATAATGATAATGTTATTTCTAAAAATGACACTTTGTAGCTCCCGTGTCTGCCCTTTGTCATCTGAAACTCGCAAATCGCTACCAACATCATCCTCAGCATCAGAGAAACTGTCCGCCCATCGGAAAAATCTGCATTGATCGGCAATGCTTCGGGGGCAT